GACCATTCCCATAATAAGATTACCTCAGCCCTTGTACTACAAAGTACCTAGCATAATAATATCATCATCAAGTGTCGTCAATCCTAAAACTGGTTGGACACGCACCTCCACTCTTTCCTATCCTGAGCTAATCTTCGCATTTCCCTAAAACTGGAACATACCACATCCTTAACAAGTTGTGAACAGTAATCTAACCTGGGTCTGCATCTACTGCCCTTCGTGCCTGCGGAGATGTCCTACAAACCTAACCTCACCCATCTCTTATTGACTTCTATGTCGCCCTCTGTTCTCCTACTGTTTCTAATACCTCTTCATTTCTAACCTTCACTGTCCATGGTATCCTCATCATTCGCCTGTAACACCACATTTCGCCTGTCCGCTCCTCTTTCTTGGTATGGCTCCTTAAAGGAATTCTACCCATTGGGAAGAGGAATCAGTTTTTATTGTTGCGTAGAATGTTGTCGTCTCTGTGACCAAGCCCAGTAGTCGGTAACTTTAGTAAGAGCTTTTAGCTTTTTAACCGTTCGACAATGCTCGAAGCTAATCTGTCCAAGCAATTATTTGATCATTAAAAAGACTTGAAATGACTCCCTCTCGATTCTCTTTGACATCCTTGAATGTTGACGTTCATTCAGCATACATGTCGTACCGACTGGACTACGTATTAATGTGTTATTAACATTATTGTAGCAATAAGAGTTTTCTTATATAAAAAAATAATCGAGACAGCTTCATAATTGCGAATTAAAAACTGCTCGGTACTCGTATACACGAGCAGCCTAACATAGCGATATTCTATTGCATGTAATCCAAAGGTGTTTCGTTTTGCTCAAAAGATTCTGAGGGTTCGTTTAGTTTAGGATCCTAAGAAAATATGACTGAACATAAGATATAACAAACGTCAGTTTGTGTGGTTTCTCTAGTTGCCTATACCAAGTCATATTTTTCAAAAGATGATGCCCTTTCTTTGATTATTGTATGTAATTCCTAACCGAACTTCCCTTTGTTCGCTTCTCAATTCTCCTAGACTGTAATGCTGTTATGTAACTATTTTAGTGGATTGTCATGAAAAGTTGAAACCTGGAAAGTATTTAAAAATCGTTATATCCTGTCACTTATCTTTTTAATGGAAAGGCAACGTCAACTGAATTCGTTCGTTTTTTCATCAAAGCTCAATAAAACGTTCAATATTAATCAATAATAAAATATTGTTCTGTATTTAGTGATACTAATTTATCTAAATATTATATCTGTTTGATACCTGATTGATAATTTTTCGTTGTATGGATCCTTTATACGTTAAACATTAGGTAGGTATGATCAACACATTCTGTTGATTAGGTAGGCAGGTTCTTTTCCGTGGTTAAATTCTCACAATACCTTATAATGACTTCATTTCCAATAGTCGTATGATTGATCATTTGGGCAACATTAATTTTGTAACAAAGTTCTCTATTCAAAATTATTATTTTATTGATTCTTTTAATATTATTCATTAATAAATAATTTAGACAAGTGTGCTAGGAAAGAGACCCTTTTTGGTATCAAAAGTTTACTCAAAGAAAAGCAAAATAACATTGAAGATGCTTTATCCTATAATGAATATTACAGGTACCTAATTTTAAAATTACGTTAAATCTTCCTAAGTTTTTATGGTAGATATTTCATTGTTACGTCCAAAAGCTATTGGTATTTTTAGTCTGAAATGGTTTAGCTGAAACGACTCGACCTTTTCGTTTTAAAAGTCACGTTTTCCACAGTGTGATTGCATGTCGGATCAGACAAAGACCCTTTCTTAATACATGTTCGTGGCGGACAGGAGTCTCTAAACAAAGGGTAAAACGGCGGAAAATAAAGCGAGACGGGTCGTCTATTGGTTGAACGTCTGAAACCAATCGGTACCATCAGTTTAGCCCTGACATATGGCGTGTAATTACTGTCTCACGACAAGCCCTGCGGAAGTTATCTGCATACGAAAGATGTACCGCAATTACTGCCACAGGGCCAAAGATCACCCGGATTTATCGTATAAGCTATAAGCAAGCATACTTTTACAATCTGTAGTGATTTTCATTCCCGTTCTCTGTTCGTTTGAATTTTCACCCCGTTTATTTACAACATGTGAATGGCAACTTTTTAGTGGCCGCTGGAATGTTTGAACTCCCTTCGTGGGTCAGCAACCGCGGCAAACAACAGCGGACCGCTACCTCCTTGATGTTGTCGAGGCCTCAAAGAAGCCGTGTCTTTTTCTTCATCTACCGCCAGCAAACAGGCCATCATATGTATACTATAATATACACACATTCATATACGCACAAATACATATACACGGGACTATCAACGTCATACATGCGTAACGTTCTTCTTCATGTTGCTTTTTATTTTCGCTACAGTGACCGTCAATGTCACCAGCTATCGTACGGCCTACCCACTATTCATTCTCGTTGTCCAGAAGTCTCAGAATTTGATAAAATAACGCTGAGTAGTATTTTTTGACGTAGGAATTATTAAGGTACCTTATAAACCGAAGATTAAATTATACCTATATCAATTTCATGTTCGGGACGTAGCTACCTACGGATGACCCTGGGAGAGCCAAGGCCCATGCATTGATAGTTTTGGATATGTGTTGAATTAGTTTGACTATTAACTCAACCCGATATAACATAAAATTTAAAATCCTAAGCATTCAATTTCAATTCGCTTTACTTAATAGAAATTTATGTGGCGTTTTTATTTAATAATGCAAAAATTTCCATTGATTTTCCTAATTTTTTTTGTCGATGATCATGACCCATGACCAGGGTGATGAAAAATTACATACGCATTTGAGATTATGCGCTTGTTGTTTTATCTACACTGAATTTTTACTGAACTGTAGGCGTCTTGGGTTACCTACATGTAACTTAAAAATCTACAACGGTGTGACCCACCCTTGGCTCATGCGAAAAAATGCTGCCCATGTCCCTGTTTCTATGTATACTTTATTTAAAACATTATTTATAAAAATATGTGTATACATACTTTAAATACCTATATTGTATAAAAACTGATTTCAGTCCTTAGATAAAACAAAATTAAAAGTACAGTTAAAAAGATCTGACTAAAATGGGTACAATGAGGCTGGGTTAATTTCTCCAACTACTTTTTTATTATCTTTTAGTTTTCAATCCTTGGAGGTGTAATATTTTCTTCAAATTTAAATGGGACCAGTCTTGAGAATTCTATCTAATCTATTCAATAAAAAATCATCATAAATATCGATTCACGAAGAAATTGCGTAACTTGACACAAAAGATATAGTCAATTGAGACCCGTTTTTTTTTTTGAAATTTGAAGGCTGAAGCTGGGGAAATTAATAATTATAGGTATTATATGTGTGTTGAGCCATCTGTACTTTTATAACTGATTTATCGTGCAAACATCCACTGAATACTGTCACCGCTGTCACGGTCGCGACGTTTTGTCTTCCACTACATAGATGGCGATATGTAGTGCTATTGCGTATTACGTAATTATTTTGAAATTCAAACACTTTCGGGGAACTTTCTAAATTGTTATGTTTTGTTTTCACAAACACGGAAGTTGTTCATTACATTTTACAGTTATTGTGCGAAGGTATTACAACATAAAATAGTAAATTTAAGTAAAAAGTGCATATTTTTTCTGTTTTAGAAGAACTTTGATACCTGAAAATGCATTTCAATGAAATATTGAAGTTCCATAAGATAAAAGACAGTTTTCAATTACATAAGAGATTCTACGTTGAATATAAGGCATATTTGAAAACCTCCACTGGAATAAATAAAAAATATTACCTAAAAACATTATACGGATTGTAACATAAAAAAAGGTTTCTCAAAAAAATAAGAAAGTGCTATAAGACTTTTTGTAAATAGTTTCAGAGGATAAATCTATTGTTAAATAAGGGGGGCCCCTCATATTATATATTGCCAACATTGATCGGTGTAGATTTTAGTCTGCGCAGGCTGTTCGGTTTACTTGGGGTAACTCATTATTAATATCAGGCATACTACTTACTATTTAGCTGTCCATCATAAAGCTTGGTTCATTTAACTTGATTGCATCTGACAGCAAAATAATATTATGGTATTGCTGCTGTTTACAAAGTTTTTAGTGTGATTTGGAGTCATTCCGTTATGGTCTTCACCATGAATTGGGTAACTACGATAAATCTTTTTTTCCATTTTGTGTTATGATTTTGAATTGAAAAACTTTAAATATAATTGGCATTATTTTAAACAATATTAAAACTCATCTTTTATGGCCTTTTTGATATGTTTTGACAGGTATGAGTTTTGATCCTTTGTTGATTGTTCTTTTGTATGGCATGTAAGCTACCTGAATTCAGGTAAAATTATTTAGTGTGATATAGAGTTTCATGCTTATTAAATTTTTCTTTAATTAGATTAGGTTTTAGTTTCTTTTTTTCTTATTGAAACATTTTTTTATTAGTATTAAAGTATTTTTTTATTGAATTAACGTAGATTTTACATGAATCTTATTTACTTTTACCTGACTGAGACCTTATTGTATTTCATAACAGATCATTTAAGAATTATGAGATGGTTGCAGGGAAGATATAAAAAGCAGCCATTGTGCATGCAGCAGCTTCGAATCGATATGGTTGTTCATTGTTTGATTGAATGCGAATAGTTCTTGAGTCTATCGATCTGCTGTTATATACCACTCCCCTTTTTTATTGAATTCCTTATTTATTTATTTCTTTTTGTTTTGCTATTAATTTGGGAAAAACTACAATTGCATATAAACATTTTACAATTGTTAAGTTTCTATTTTATGAAATACTAATAGTACATATTTTACTAATATCTATAAAATTGAAAATAGGAACCAACTAAATTATTTATGGTTTGTTTTATTTTGTTATTTTTTTTATTTCTTACTTTACGTTGAAATAATATGTTTAATTAAAGTTTTATATTTACAAGTACTTAACGAAGTAATTATTGTTACAGGTAAAAAGCCACCATAATGTCTAAAAAGCCACCCAGGATCCCATTTTTCAGTGATACTTATACAACAAAAGGGGTACTTATTTGTAACCCCACAAATAGTAGTTAATATGAGCGACAGAAGTCGCGAGAAAGTTAAGGTGAAACACGCCTATGACAATACCTTCAATGAAAACTCACCTAGGCCTCCGGTACCCGGCGAGGAGAGGGAGTATTGCGTCAATGACTGGTCTTCCCCCATGGAATGGGTTAGGCACAAGGTGCCATCGCCAGTACCCAAAAAACATAAATATCCAGCTGGTGCGTAATTATGTTCTATGATAAATAGTAAAAATCTATTATATTAAAAAAATTTTACTACTTTATGTTATATATAGAAGTCAGCTCCTCTATGGGTTTTGACCCTGAAGGAAATTCTCGTTCAAGACCGTCGTCAAGACATGACCGGCCTCGAACACCCTGTGACAGCGCTTCTCCTCCAGCCTGTCTTCGTTGGGCTTGCTCCTTGTATCAGCTTCTGGAGGATCCAGATGGTGTTCAACTATTTCGCCAGTACCTTAAATCTGAAGGACAATCTCACGCGGATGCTCTCGACTTTTGGTTTGCCTGTGAAGGATTGCGAAATCAGAGCGAACTGGAAAGGGTTCAACAAATCATCAAAGCAATTTACAAGTAAGTATAATCATAAATAAAATTAATTATTATATGTACCTACATATGTTTAATACATATTTATTAGAAGTTACAAATTTAAGTACTTTGAAATACTATTGAGATTTTATTGTGCTTTTGCAGACGATTTTTTCTAAAATCTTCCCTTCCTATATCCGAAGAACTCCGACGAGAGGTAGCGAGGCAGGTGAAATCGTCGTCCTCCCTGAATGCCCCCGTTGCTCTCTTCGATGAAGCGCAGGCGCAGGTGGAAAGTCTTATTAGTAAAACCACATATCCGAATTTTTTAAAAAGTGAAATCTATCTTCACCATGTTCAGGTAAATTTATTAATTTCTTACATACTTAAAAAGTATTTGAAACTTAAAATTCGGATAAATATAAAAATTCGCAGTTAGTATTATTATTTGAAATGTCATCTAAAAAAAAGGCAATTATGTTTTATTTACGGTCTCATCAATCAGTTTGTCGGCGTTTACAGAAGTCGAGATAGTATTTGTAAGAGATTAATTATTTGATTGCATTTTTGTCATATTTAAATCATGTTATCTAGACCTAAATCTAATCTAAATCTTCTTGTCGTTAAAGGCATATTGTCCTTTCCATTTATAAAAACAAAAACAAGTATGCGTTCTTTGGTTTTTAGAATGGATTCAGTTTTATTTTAAACGTTTATATTTGATTTTTTTTCTTTTTAAATACAGACCGTTCAAAATCCGACCAACAGCAGTGATTTTAGTAGTTCGTCGAGTTCGTCTAGCAGTTCAATAAGCACCAGAGATCCTACAAATTTAGCTAGCAGTATTGGTCCCCTTCCTACCCTTCATGAAGATATGGAGTTTGTTCCTAGCTTCTCTGCCCCTTTAAGTCATGCTCCTGGTAATGAAAAATTATTTCAATATCAAATATCACTTTTTTATAACAAACAGTTTATATTTTTTGGAGACAAAACAATACACATGTAACATGTCATTACTGTGTTAAATATTTGTTGTCCTGTCTTTTAAATGCTTTTTTTACAGGTACAGCATGTATGAGTACAGGATATCACACCCCAAACATGGGTGTTCCCGTACGTTTAACAAAAGATATACTTTTAGTAACTCAAAGGAGAAGAGCCCTAGACGTTAGGCCTAAACCTGAAGCGTTTGCAGGGTATGTTGTGTTTCTTTGTATAAAATTTAGCTGCATTCTAGTTAGCAAAAGCTTCATTGCGAGCTTTAATTTTTTTTTGCAATAGTTTATTGAGACATTATGAAGAATTATCTTTGGTGCAGAAGTATTACATAATTCCTATTATGTAAAGTTTAAAAGAAATATTAGTAATTTATTTTTTTTTTACTTAAAACGAGTTGAGTTTTTGCATGAATTTAATCTTTTTTTTAATAAATGGTAAGCTAAATCAATTTTTTTTAAAATTACTGTAGTAATATTTGGAATATTGACATCTAATTATAAATCGATATTAATGTTGCTGTTACTATGTATGTATATATTGTATCATCTACCAAACTAAAAGGTGAATAAATTTACCCCTGATACGTCTTTTCGTGGAATAAAAATCACACTTGTTTTACTACAGTAAAGTTACATACATTAGTAAATGTTTTGTAATATCTAAAGGTCTTATAGTTTTAGAGCCTATTGAATTACAGTGTTTTATTACTTTTTTAACTTTTAAAATTATACTCAAAACAAATAAAATTCAAGAATATTGGCTAACTCACATTTAGAGCTTAAAATTGTTTAAATGAAATAGTAATTATTTCTTACAACGTTTTGATTTGGTGTCGTGCAGTANCCTAACAAAACAGAATCGTATTACAGTTTGTTACAAATTGTTTTAATAATCAGTTAGATTTTTTTTACGTGTGTCGCGGGCGGCCCAAGACTTTAAATTTTTAAACCAGGACTACAAATGAAGCCCCCCCCCCCGGACGCTCCCCGGATGCCCTCTAAACGAGGACAAATCCGGGGAAACCCGGACGGATGGCAACCCTAGTCATAGGGAAGTTATTATAATCAAAATCGTACTTCCGAACATATTTTGCAATTCGAAGGTTACAATAGCATTTGGTATCTCAAATTGCCTTGGAAGGACAAGACCACGGTAACACTTCGTTGGTGTAATCGTAACTTGATGATGCTAAGGAACCAAATTGAAGCAATTGTGTTCAAAATCATAAGAAATAGCGTTCAATAATTATTTTTTTGTTAACTGGGGTAACAATTTTTAATGTTTTTATCATGATTTCATTTCAAGATTGCCTGGGTAGTTGTGGACTCTTGCAAGCACTTTCATGGTCACATTCGTACTAAGCGAAAAACTATATAGACAAACTTCTAAGCTAATCCGAAGTAGAGGATTTTCAGTACAATTGTTATGTATGTGCTTTAGCGGATGCGGATGAGTATATGGATATTTCGTTTTATCGTTACTTAGTAGAATTGTTAGTATTATTTAGTCCTTTCATTTTCATACATTTTGAGAACTCAATTCATTTTCAAATATCTGAGACACTTTAAAATTGGATACTGTTTGTATCATTTTAGTACAACAAATATCTGCTCAGTATTCTCATCAGGATGTGCGGATCTGGATGAGGATGTGGATTTCAAACAATTTATCTTTGCGGATGCGGACGAGGCTGTGGATATTAAAATTCCTGCAGATCATCCGCAGTTGCGGATGCGGATATCCGTTCCAACCCTTGTTTTCAGGAGTGCAATCATGACCTAAATTTAAAAGTAAACGAAAAGTCGTAATGTTACATTTGAAACATCAAAGGTGCATGCCGCAGAACCGATAGTAAATATAAGATTGTATGGCAAATACCTAAAATAACTTAAAAATCATTATCTGAAGCATTCTTTTTAAAATATTTCTTGAAAAAAGTAGGTAATAGGTACCAACGTACTTACACTCCATATGTTTGGAACATCCTGTATAATCTTGACATGTTGTAAAGCGTTAAAAAAAGTTATTTAGAAGGTTATACGATATCTCACAATCGAAAATTTTTAATGAAACTTTTGTCTTAATCATAATGTAGGTAGGCACCTATAATTCGTATTATACGTCGCGTCGTCTTTATTGCGAGTTCAGTTGAAATTAAAAGTGGCCGCCAGGCTTGGACCAGGTCATTCAGAAACGTTCTTTCTGAAGGCGGCGGTAATAGCGCCGCGATTTGAAATCATCGCTGGTGCTAAAGGGGCCGCCAAGTGCACCTTGGTCGCGGACAAAGCAACATGAAAGGCGCCGCCGATTCTCTCGTCCCTTCTCTTCTCTCGCTCTCGGAAACGTTGCTTGCTGTCGACATACATACATTTATACCAGTTAAATCACTCTTCGCAACAGTCGGTTCTACCACTTTTCAAAAGTTTTAAGGTTACGATTTCGTTAGATCTGAAGACTTAGAACTAGGTATTGTACAAAATATACATCTAGTTCTGTTTTATAATTTTTGATTTGAACTTTCAGTTAATATTTTTTAAGGTATCAAGTTGAAATTTATATGAAACTAGCTGTACCCTGTGCGCATTGTTACGCCACCAACTAAAATAAATTTGAAGGAAAGACGTTACACAAATATTCAATTCATTTTGAGTCATTTTATTGATTTTGTTCATTTCGAAAAAATTGTGACATTACAGGGTTTCGTTTCAATCCGATATTTATTTGCAACAACAACTTTGCTAAAGATCATCACATGATCAAATGCATAGTTTACGATTCTCTAAAGGAAATACAGACAAACTTTCATTTTTATATATAATATAGATACTCAGATTTGCAAGAGATGTAAAAAAATCAAATTTCTAAGTCAAAAGGATTCTTTCTGTTGACCTAGAATCATGAAATTTGGTAAGAAGCAATGTTACACACAAGTAAAAGGAAAAATCTGAAAACCGTAAATTCCTAGTTCAAAAATTTGATTATAATGTAACTGTACGTTTTGGGAGACTGATTTTTGGGGGAAACTGAATACATATCTACTCGGAAAAATTCGAATGCGAAACATGGACGGTGGGCACGGCGGAAAAGAAAAGGTTAGAAGTTTTCGAAATGAGCAGGTTTTAGAAAGAGTAAGAGAACAGAGAGCGCTATGGAAGTCAATAAGAAATGGGCAAGATAGGTTGGTAGGAAACCTTCCTAGGCATGAAGAGCTACTTAGTATTAGAAATTGAAACAGGCGCAAAAAGGAGTAGAGGTAGATCTAGATTAGATTGATGTTCACAAATAGTTACGGATTTGAGGTGTTCCAGCTTAGGGAAATGCGAAGATTAGCTCAGAATAGGAAAGAGCGAAGATGCGTGTCCGACCAGTGTTAGGATTAACAATCCTATGATCATATGATCATGATGAATGCTTATCCGTTTCATTTTGTTATAATAAAAATATTATGACCTTGTTTTCCCTTCAAGGTCAACGATATGAACAGAATTGCGTGTGTGGAATTTAGAGTAATTTTTGTTATTAATTAATTTGTATTAATTTAAGGATTAAATGATAAAGGGATATAACGACAGGTTTTATCGTGCAAGCAACAATATGAGCTTTCTATTAGTGCTTGGTTAATCATTCATATATTCGTTATTAGTTTCAAGGTACCTTAATAAGTCCTATTAAATTGCGATCAGGTGATTACTGATCAGTTTTCCATACTCTTGAGTTTACCTCTATTAGCAACTGGGAACGACGGAGTTCTATCTCGAAATGGCATTCTATCGAGTAATTTTGTCGCGATGTTTTAATCATTGAAACAGTTCTTGGGATTTGTCAAGTTTTATTTATTTATACATCAAAAAGCCATTTTCAAGTTGCACGCTTTCCTTCGCATTATAGCATAAACATGATAATAATTATCATCAAAAAACTGAATTTTAGTGATGAAAGACGAACATTGATAAACAATATCTATATCTTCACGTATTAATTTATTGACGATACAATAAATATCTTGATTCAGATGGACCAATAAAAGAAAATTGTGAGATTATTATTAAAGAACTTTTATTGATTAATACCAGTTGGATCCGTCCAAATATGGAGGGATGGGCACCATTGTCGTTGGTAGTTATACGTTTAAATAGTCAGGTAGTTGTAGAATCGCATGCTATTAGACTCGCTAGCCGCAGCGAATTGCATTGCAATCCTAGTAACGCTAGAACTGTAGATACCTTGAATAGTGACTCCACAGGACGAAAGTGGGATAAAATATTTGACACGTGCCGTTTAGAGAGACCATTCCCATAATAAGATTACCTCAGCCCTTGTACTACAAAGTACCTAGCATAATAATATCATCATCAAGTGTCGTCAATCCTAAAACTGGTTGGACACGCACCTCCACTCTTTCCTATCCTGAGCTAATCTTCGCATTTCCCTAAAACTGGAACATACCACATCCTTAACAAGTTGTGAACAGTAATCTAACCTGGGTCTGCATCTACTGCCCTTCGTGCCTGCGGAGATGTCCTACAAACCTAACCTCACCCATCTCTTATTGACTTCTATGTCGCCCTCTGTTCTCCTACTGTTTCTAATACCTCTTCATTTCTAACCTTCACTGTCCATGGTATCCTCATCATTCGCCTGTAACACCACATTTCGCCTGTCCGCTCCTCTTTCTTGGTATGGCTCCTTAAAGGAATTCTACCCATTGGGAAGAGGAATCAGTTTTTATTGTTGCGTAGAATGTTGTCGTCTCTGTGACCAAGCCCAGTAGTCGGTAACTTTAGTAAGAGCTTTTAGCTTTTTAACCGTTCGACAATGCTCGAAGCTAATCTGTCCAAGCAATTATTTGATCATTAAAAAGACTTGAAATGACTCCCTCTCGATTCTCTTTGACATCCTTGAATGTTGACGTTCATTCAGCATACATGTCGTACCGACTGGACTACGTATTAATGTGTTATTAACATTATTGTAGCAATAAGAGTTTTCTTATATAAAAAAATAATCGAGACAGCTTCATAATTGCGAATTAAAAACTGCTCGGTACTCGTATACACGAGCAGCCTAACATAGCGATATTCTATTGCATGTAATCCAAAGGTGTTTCGTTTTGCTCAAAAGATTCTGAGGGTTCGTTTAGTTTAGGATCCTAAGAAAATATGACTGAACATAAGATATAACAAACGTCAGTTTGTGTGGTTTCTCTAGTTGCCTATACCAAGTCATATTTTTCAAAAGATGATGCCCTTTCTTTGATTATTGTATGTAATTCCTAACCGAACTTCCCTTTGTTCGCTTCTCAATTCTCCTAGACTGTAATGCTGTTATGTAACTATTTTAGTGGATTGTCATGAAAAGTTGAAACCTGGAAAGTATTTAAAAATCGTTATATCCTGTCACTTATCTTTTTAATGGAAAGGCAACGTCAACTGAATTCGTTCGTTTTTTCATCAAAGCTCAATAAAACGTTCAATATTAATCAATAATAAAATATTGTTCTGTATTTAGTGATACTAATTTATCTAAATATTATATCTGTTTGATACCTGATTGATAATTTTTCGTTGTATGGATCCTTTATACGTTAAACATTAGGTAGGTATGATCAACACATTCTGTTGATTAGGTAGGCAGGTTCTTTTCCGTGGTTAAATTCTCACAATACCTTATAATGACTTCATTTCCAATAGTCGTATGATTGATCATTTGGGCAACATTAATTTTGTAACAAAGTTCTCTATTCAAAATTATTATTTTATTGATTCTTTTAATATTATTCATTAATAAATAATTTAGACAAGTGTGCTAGGAAAGAGACCCTTTTTGGTATCAAAAGTTTACTCAAAGAAAAGCAAAATAACATTGAAGATGCTTTATCCTATAATGAATATTACAGGTACCTAATTTTAAAATTACGTTAAATCTTCCTAAGTTTTTATGGTAGATATTTCATTGTTACGTCCAAAAGCTATTGGTATTTTTAGTCTGAAATGGTTTAGCTGAAACGACTCGACCTTTTCGTTTTAAAAGTCACGTTTTCCACAGTGTGATTGCATGTCGGATCAGACAAAGACCCTTTCTTAATACATGTTCGTGGCGGACAGGAGTCTCTAAACAAAGGGTAAAACGGCGGAAAATAAAGCGAGACGGGTCGTCTATTGGTTGAACGTCTGAAACCAATCGGTACCATCAGTTTAGCCCTGACATATGGCGTGTAATTACTGTCTCACGACAAGCCCTGCGGAAGTTATCTGCATACGAAAGATGTACCGCAATTACTGCCACAGGGCCAAAGATCACCCGGATTTATCGTATAAG